AGTGTTGCCTCACACATTGTTCTGAGTGTGCCCCACCTCATTCTAGTGTTGCTCCACTCCTCATTCTGAGTGTGCTCCACTATTGTTTGTTAGTGGAAGCATCAGGTACCATTTCACCAGTTCTTGCTTAAATCAAGCAGAATCCATAGGAGAGGTGCTACAGAACAAACACTGACTGCTCTACCACAGGTGTAGTAAAGCTAACCTCCCTCAGTGACCAATGGATTATTCTATTTTCTCCTGGCTTCCCCTCGGTAAAACATAGCATGCTACATGGATCACCTGGGAGGGGGAGAGACTACGACACTGTCACCACCTATGACACTTTCACCCTAGGTGAATTGAAATTATGATAATCAAGATTTTCATTTTTTGTCTTTGTTCCAGTTGATTCATTTGATATTACATCGCACCTTGGGAAATTGCAATCAGCGACCTCACCCCCTCTGGATGAAACCAGTGAAGATGTATGTACTACATGTGTCTGTATGTAAATCAATCCCAAAATTTAAACATTTCTTGGTACAAGAGAATAGATGGAAGTCAGAACCAGTCCAATAGTTCTTTACTACTTTGCATATGAAATGTCTCTGTTTCTTTGCATTTCCTCCGAGCCATGCCACCAGACTTCTTTGAAGGGCTCCTGCAATGGAATTTGTGTCCAGATGTCACAATGCACTTTTACCGTTATTTCTCAGTTAACCCCATTTTCAATTGTTTCTTCGCTATTTCAAAGGGTGCTTTACTGTGATTGTGGTTTTTACGCTAATGGATATTTCTATATTCACGAGAAACACTGTGATGTCATCCCAGGAAAAAAAAAGCAAACGGCTTTCTTCGAAATGCTGTAAATGAGTTAGTTCTCGATTAAGAACATTGATCAGAGAAACATTATTGAACCGTGTCTTCCCCAGATGACACCTCGGCAAGAGCGCCCTCGGTCGTTTAGGAAGGCGTGGATCGTTCAAATTTTTTTTTAAGTGCACTTTTCAATACATTGACCTAGTAGAGATGTCAAATTATACAGTGAAGAAGACTATACAAATGCAGGAATATAATGTCTCAGAGAAATCCATTGCAGCTACACTTTAATGATCTGTCTTTTCAGGAAAGTGGGTCATATTCTAGCCTATCGTGGTTCGTGATTGAAATCCCTTTGCTTCACGCCATCACCCAATAGGTTTAGGAAAAGGAATGTTTTAACTTTTCATCTCTTATATATAACGGGTTTGCCCTTACCCAACGTATATTAATAAACACTGTATGCTCAGTGCTTGTCCGAGAGCTTGCGAAAAAAACCTCACAAGCTTACTCGGGTGGGACTCGAGCCCCCGAGCACTGAGCATACAATGTTTATTAATATACGTTGGGTAAGGGCAAACCCGTTATATATAATTAACATCTCCCCAACGCGAAAATACATCTTTTCATCTCTTTTCAAACAGCGTCCAAAATGTCTTTTCCTTGTGCCCAGATACTGGAAATGGAGAAAGCCAAGAAATACCGTGAACTATCCCAACGAAAAAAACGACAGAAAGAGTTAAAAATCATTGGAGATAAGATGGAGGCCAGAACGCTGAAGAAGGTATACTATTCTCTCAGATACAATCTATCATCATCCTTGTTCATATCACAATGTGAAATAAAGACTAGTCCCCGCCCCTCCCTGCACAGTCCCAGCCATAATGCAGAGAGTACTAACCAGATTACTCATTTGCATGGATAACGTTGCTACTTTCACCTGAACAGTTGATATTGTAGCGGGAGGGGCAAACTGGCATATAATACAGGGACCTGTGGCGCCCCCTGGCTTTCGCTTTGAGTACTTCGAGACCCCTGGGTTTACAAACGTCATATCCCACATCACATCAGGCAATAATATTTCAGTATTCTTCCGTTCTGAGATGTTATGAATCTAATACGGGCAATTCACAACGTTAGCCAATCATAACGCGTGAAATTTGTCGACCCTTTCCAAACGTGCGCTGGATTGACAAATTTTGCGTATTGTGATTGGCCAACGTGTTGCAAACTCTTGATGGTGCAAAAGTGTAAAACGGCCGTATTTCTTGCATGTTTTTAGGATAAGAGAAGGAAGGTCCTAGTTAAGGGAGAGACACAGACGGCATCAGCAGTCTACAAATTCTACCCCGAGAGGAAAAGATGACACTTGTTGTCAGGATGAGACTGAGAGATTGGTCGTCAAGGAAATAATCAGAAAGGGGGCGGGGGGAGCTAAGAAAGAGGAGCAGTAATTGTGGTTCTCTTGCGTGCTGCTCTTCTTGGTCACTGGTAAAGACAGTTGTCGCATGCCGTTGCCGATCGGTCTCATGCAGAAATGGCAGAGAAAGTGACTAGTCAAGAGCCTAGAAACTAGTCAGTAGTTACCGAAAGTGTTTGCGTCAAGCGAGGTTGTGCATGATATTTTGAAGATACCTTTAATAAGGGGAACATCTATTAAGTATGCAAATCATTAGCTTCCCACAAGAAAAACTGAATAATTTGTTATTAAATTTGTAGCCGAATACTTTCTTTTCAGAAGTTTTCTTGAGAATGGCTCAAATGTGTTTTTTAAGCCACTCAAGAAAAACAGCATTCATTCGGCACACTAAAATAATCGGACAGGGAATCACTCCACCATACCAGTCAGTCTGCGACATTGTAACTAACAAGACCCCAGGACACTTTGCTTCAGTGCGATATCCTCAAAACAACTGCTCAGATTTCCTTACATAAGTTTATTACCCTTTTGTGCAGTTTGTCTGCTCTTAATGTACACAGCCCCATAGGAAATTACTGTGATCGATAGTTCTTACCTTATAGATGTCCGATCTTGCAAATCTGTGTAAATGGGCCCGTGTACATGAACAACATAATAGGAGATACTGAAAAATGGGCAAAAACATGGCTGTCAATTGCTCTCTTGCATTGAGTGGCCATCTCGTATTCCCGGCTGTACATGTACATGCTTTGGATGCTTGAAAAGGTAATGTGCTCCACCGCTGTGCAAAACTCTTCCAATTTATTAAATTTGTAGCCAGATACTTTCCTTTTAGAGTTTTCTTCAGAATGGAGCAAAGATGTTTTCCAAGACACTCAAGCAAAACAAAATTGAACTGAAGCAAATTGGTTGCAGCGAAAATTGTGGATTTCGAAGAATTTGTATGATTAAAAACTCGTAAGTTAATTACAGTACAATCTCAGATTCCAGTGTCTTCTTGTGAGACTTACAGTCCCTGGTTGCTTGTGTTATTATAATTTTCTTTACAGCATGTTGTTTTGGTCTGACACGTAAATAGTTAGTAAATCCATGGCTGTTTTTGCCCTCTCCTTAAGTGCTAGTGATTTTTAATCCTAATCCATATAAGTTTGGCGCCACTTTGGATCTCGGCAGTGGTGTGTCCAGCAGGGGTAGGCTATTCCCGGAGATGTGTTGTCAACTCGGAAGAGGAGCTTAGAGACATGCACCTATCTGTAGGGGGTTGAGGATTTTTTGGCGGGTAAAACTTGTGGACGTTTTTTCAGAAAAAATTGTCAATTTACCCCCAGGACTAAAAGCTTTGATCCACCATAAGGTTCCGGCGACGGTATGAAATGCATAATTCATATATATATCAGACAAAGGTTTGTGTACAAACTTTACTGGAGGTTCAACGCAAATACAATGTTGCAGTGACAGGTGGGGAAATGTACATAGATTCTAACCAATTTCATGAAAGGTTAACCAAACTGCCGTTGGCATAAGAGTGAATGGGAATGATTTCGGCTTAGATCTACCCTTTGCCGCTTTTAAAGGATACATGTTTTCGGCAGGCGTTGTTTTTGTGTCCAGCGTCTGACCCCAATGAGAAGCAGTGCAGTACCACCAAATGAAGACGACTCCCTCGTAGTTGAACTTGCCAAAAGTTTTCTTGGACGACTGAAACCCCACTTCTTTTTTACCGGCCCCAACGCCAGCCCCGCACGGCTCCTTGTGCCATCATCCCGCCGCCCCGCTCCGTCCACGTCCACCGCCCTCGGTGCTTTCTCTACTCTGCCGGCCAATTTTTACCCGTACACCTGACCAGCTCGATCGTTGCCGCCACATACGGCACACGCTGGACTTGCAGGTGCTAGCCAACATGATCGACACTCCCTGCAGAGAGTTCACCAGCGCAGATACGTACCACAGAGGCTTGGAATCGAAGATGTTGGTCAGTAGGAATAGACGCCAAGATATCCCCGTCCACAGATACACCTAAACGAAAAAAAAATGCACCTGGTTAATCAAATTGGTGCATTTAAGGTTTGTTCCAATTACGATTTTCAAATTTCGAACGCAACTGATACACGAGCAACAGATTGCAGAAATCTGGCAAATCACTTACAGGTGATAATCGAGGAATCGGCTCATTAAGTTACTTTCTCCACATAAATTCTTGAAAGCTATATAGGCGTAGCAAGTTCATAAACTCGGGCAGTTGGGTCGAGTGAAGGCTTATTTCTCATTCCAGCCGGCTTCCTATTCCCCTCCCGCCTCTCCTAGGGGGCCTTTTTGTTTTATTGATGTTCCTTTTTGTCAAATTTTCAACGTATTTTGAATTTTTGTTTCTGGCACGCATGCTATAAACAATGCAAGTTTAAAACCTGTTAAGCGGGTTAAAGCTTCTTTATTTCAAACGTATCAGCAAAGTGTAAAGAGATTTCAATGAAAGAAAAGCACTATAGTACGTCTCTGCTATACGTCTCCGTGAAAGTGGCTGTTTTGAAGGATGCTGAAGAGAAAAAGGTAAGTTCACCACTTTCAAATGATCCGCAACTTCGAGGTCACCTTCATCTTCTGACACCCTCTGACGAGATGGGTAAACGTGACAGTCCGTAATTGCTGTGGATGCGGGGTCAGATATTTAAAGACAGAAAGGAGGATAACACCTTACTTAATTGTATTCTTCACGATTGTTTTTTTGATAAGGAAATGAAAGGTGATGATATAGTGACTGTGTTTAAAAATAACCTTCTCGTGCTGAAGAATATCTCCAAGTATACTTATAATGATTGATAAAGTCACCCCCGAAAAACAAAAGAATTTTTGGAATAGTGCTTTAAATATAAACTTGGAAGATGAACAATTTGAGGCGATTCATACACGTAACTTTAAATGTGCAACTGAAACCAGATTAGACAAGAGCTTTTTATTTTAAGATGTTTCTTTTTAATATTGGAAGAAAAGATTCTCCTTACTGTGCTTTTTGGGAAAAATGTCCCAAAACTTCGAATCCTATATCATGAGTGTGGTCATGTTTCACCCATCTTGTCAGACCTCATGTCTTTTATCAATTAAAATCTCAAAGACCCTATTCAGTTTGGGACATTTGAATTCTTTTTGGGTGTTCCCCATAATAAATGTTTGACTTTTGTTTTTCTTTTTATTAAGTTTTATTTATATAGATGTAAATTCCAGACTCAAATCCCTTCTTTTTGGGGTTAAGATTATTTTTTACAAAGTCAGTATGATATAGAATATAAGACTGCTGTGAAAACCTAAACCTTAGCCTTCATTATAAAAAGGGAAATTTCAATTCTGATTCTCTAGACCCTATGCAACTTCAATTCATTCAATTCATTTATGATGACAATTTCTTTACATTTCTTCACCGGTCCCCAAATGTCCTTAATGAAGTTTTGTATGATTCGTGCTTTTACTTTCATATGTATGTTTGTTTTGTGTTTTTCTTATCAATGAAACACAGAAAGAAAAAAGTAAATAGGAAAGTATGCGTATGGGAAGGGACAGGGGTAAGAACCATTACGTGTGCCCTGCGCAGTCAGTGGCGTACCGAGGCGGGTAAGCAGTGGTGTATCTTCAGTCTTCTGTTGTGGCTGTGGCCAGCAAAATCCTCATTACCCTCTGAAAGGCGCTTACAGTTCACCGGCAACGTGCACGATGTCTCCAGGGTGCAACATCTCCCACCCGCCGCTTGATACTCCACTGAGAGTGAGGGAGGTATTATATATACCTCCCGCCCCATAGATTCGAAATAGTACCCAGTTCCCCATAACTTCTCTCCCCCCTATTGATAAGTTGTCATTTCCTGCCACGGATACTCCTTTCCTCGCAAGTTTTGCTTTCCACAAAGCGTTCTTCTTCACCATTGTCAGCCTCCTAAGAATATGATGTGGTTATAACAGAGCCCCGAGTAGAGAGCGCCCCCACGCATACGGAGGTCCGGTCAGCAATTCTAGTCCACCTTTGGCGCCGTACATAAAGTACGTCTGCACGAAGGGGGGGGGGGGGGTTGATGGTGGGGGGGCCGTTGCGCACATCCTGCGTACAGGGGNGGGGGTTGATGGGTGGGGGCCGTTGCGTACATCATGCGTACAGAGGGGGTTCAAGCCAGTGTGTACCGTACGCATCATATCAGTACAGTTTCTCATACAATTTAGCTTTTGCTTTTGTGCGTCGAAATTCAAACACAGGAGCCTCCACCGTTCGCCCCACCTTTTGTCCTGCCAACGCACATCATTAGTAAATCGCAACATCACTCATGACACAATGACCGGCAGCATCTTCCGGAGTTGTGGCAGGCGTACGCTACGGGGGGGTCTCTAATAAAAAAGGAATTGATTGGATAGAGTTCACAGGTTGAGTAGGCCGCCTACTCGTATATAAATATTATAAAGCACATAGTACATCAGCTATGATCACCTGTACTGTAGCACCACTCTTTAGTACTTACACGTAACATCATACACATAAGAAAGTTATTTGCAAAAACATTACTGTCTCGTGATGATTTTTTTTTTAATAGAAAAGAAATTTGAAAAAATACAACAGAAAAAAGATGATTGACCCAGACGTGATTTGAACACGCAACCTTCTGATCTGGAGTCAGACGCGCTACCGTTGCGCCACTGAGCCACTCTTAAGGATACGGTGATTTGTAGAAAATATAAATCTTGATAAATAATTATTACTTTCTAGTTAACTTTTTCGAAATTTTACTCGTTCCATCGTAAATCACCTATCAAATACACAAAGAACTATACTTTGTCATTAATCTGTAACTGTAGTGACCACGTTTTGCTATATTTAAAACCGCTAAAAAGCGGAACTCACGACCGACCCGGAAGTAAACTTGGACCCTTGAGCTCATGAAAAGAAACCCGTTTACCCTCCTTTTCGACTGCCATGTCAAGCTTTCACAAGGTCAGTCAACTTCGTGTAGCGAATGATACGATATTTCTGTATATTACAGAATGTAACGCAATATTTTTAAAAGCTTCGTGTAACCCATGAGATTTATACTTTGTATTTTTGTGACACCGTGCTTTGTAATGAAACTTAAATAAGAGAAAAACACGTCTTATCATCATAGTCTTTCATCGCCATGATCGGGATAGGGCCTACGTACGTACGTACATACACATGTACAGGTATGTTGGGACTCGTGTGAGGGCGCTCTCAATTTATGGAGTCCCTTAGGAAATTCGACCCCCATTTGCAGACGCGACTTTGCTTGACCTCGGGTCGTTGCAACACTGCGACTAGTGCGAGGTGAAACAAATGCATTTGACATTGCTTTGCATGACAAAAGTAGATTTAGATTTACCGTGGGTTGTTTTGGCGGGCTGGAAGTCGTATACAAGCAGACAAGTCATGTCCTATGGGGCAGCGCATACATTTGGGATTCTCGCAAAATGGCAGGTAGGCCTACCGCGCCGGTGAAAACAGCAACCGTGGTGATGTGCGCACGCACTTGCTCCGCTCACTAGTGAGTGTGGCACAGAAACTCGCTACCGCTCCATCCTTAGCTGCACATCCGTACACACAATTTTCTGTCCGTGTGGTCAAATCTTTGGCGTACCCTCTTACAATCGTAGTCGCAAATTTGTTTGCATACACAAATGTTCTGTTGTCTCGTTGCTTTCTAGTGACACATTATTTAAATGATTTCACTCACGTTTTGGTATTTTACAGTCTTTTGCCTTTACTCATTCAGTTTCATGGTCTCACTCTCACACGCCATTTTAAAAATTAAAATGTGTCTGTTGAACTTAACGTCATCTGACCCCGGCCCTCAGACGGCTGTTCCATGTCAAGAACTCTACCAAAAAAAAAAACTTACCTGCACAATCAATCCGTCTGTGAGACTTCAGTTGTATATTAAATAGGTCTTGACATGGAACAGCTGTCTGCAAGCCTGGGCCGGGTTTTTCCAGTTTTGTTAAACAGACCCCTGAAATTCCGTTTTTCTTTTTTGTTTGCCCTTCTGGCTCAAAAGAAAATGCCAAAAAGAAAACCCAAATGGGAATGCATTTATTTTCTCTTTGTGTCCTGAGTAAAATGCCCGTCACACGCTGCATGCACATGTGTAGCTCTGCCCTTGCTCCTGCTCTGTCCCCAAACAAGGCTGCCGAGGTTGCATGCGAAGCGGCACGTGCTGCCTGCGCCTATATGCCTTTAAGATTATTGAAACGACTGGAGTTTCAGCAGCTCTGTGCCATGCGTACCAAATACTGCACGGTGTAGTTAACTGTCTGAACACATACCTAGTGTGCAGTTGGCATGCTGAGCACAGCCTTGAATTCAAGACTTGTATCAGTCATTGGTTTCCAATTGCAGTGATTGTGTGAAAGTTGTACATAACAAGCCAGGAACCAAGTACATCATGGTCATTTTGCCGGATGTACTTGCGATCAGTGTCTGCAGTGTAATCGTTCACGGTTTGGAGTAAAATATGTCATACGTCATGTTACAGATTTCTTAAAATATGGGAAAAATACAAATTTTCTAGAAAGAATGGACAACTTAAGAGCCATTGAATCAAAGGTTGAAAGTAAGTGGAACCGGACACGGCTGTCAGGGAAGGGAACCTGGTCGTTACGCACTCCACTGTCTATGCTTGGTAAACGTGGTACATCGGTACAAGAAAGTGGAAACTTTCTGCTTGTCCTTTTTCACACTTCTGACAACTTCCCCACCCCAATTTTATTAGGTGTTCTTTGTGTCTCAAGAATTTTGTTTTAATTTTTGCCACTTGTGATTCTGTGTAAGAAATTACTGAAAATGGGAGATCATGCAAAGATCCCGAGCAGCCTCAAGGTCATTCATGGAATTCGACCATTTTGTGAATAAAAAACACACAAGACCGATGTGCCTACCAATAATGCTCTTGAACATGTGTGTTGATTTAGCAGTCAGTGAACATGTGCGTTGATTTAGCAGTCAGTGAACATGTGCGTTGATTTAGCAGTCAGTGATAGCTTATGCGTTCTCCTGATTTTATTTTCAGACCTTGATCATTGACGGGAAAGGTCACCTTCAGGGCCGCTTGGCCTCGTTGGTGGCCAAGAACCTTCTCCAAGGTAAACGGGAAAATAGTTTTGGACGGAAGTAAAACACACCGTTTGTTCTGCCGTGTTTGGTCGAATAAACGTATACAGAAACTTGCAGTATTTTACGTGAGCCGAAGTAGAAACATTTACTTTGCTGTGGCGTTCTTCTTGACAAGAACTAATGCCCACAATCTCATGACTCTGACTCGATCTGTCTATGATGATACTTTGACCACGCTTTTTCGAGCTACCCAGCAATGAGATGAAACCTCACAATATTACTATCTGAGACAGAAATCTTGAAATTTTCTTGCATTCTTTCAAGGACACAATACTAGATCAGCTGCATTCAAAATCTACCCTTTGGAAAGTTATGTGAAATTGTAGACATGGTCTACCTAATGGTTGTAATCAATGAGGCCGTTTAGCCAAAGTCTCGCATATGTTAAATGTTCGCACAGGCGCTTTGTGCCCTATTGGTATGTTCCTTTTTTCTAGCCAAGCGTGTTTGGGTTTTACCTCACCAGGTCAGAAGATTGTGGTTGTGCGATGTGAAGACATCAACATCTCTGGCAGCTTCTACCGAAACAAGCGTAAGTTATTAGGACCAGCACACCGGCCTTGTTGGGGTGCAAAGAACCTTCCTGAATATTCCTCAAACTACCTCCTTGCAGGAGCCTAATGGTGCATTCTTTGGACATTGGCTGTGTAGAGGTATGAATCCCCAGGTGGTGTAATATCAGCTGTGTTCTTCCCAAATTGTGTTGGAGTCCCCCCTCAGCCTCCTGCTCCATTCTGAAGGATTTGCAGAGGTCAGGAACAGAGACTATTTCGTGAATGACAGAATGAAGCCGATTCGACCAGAAAGTACATGCTGTTTGATTGTAGTGGTATCCTACCAGTTTGGGCCTGCAGCTGAATCGTAATCAGTGTGTGGGCTTGAGGAGTTGGCATATTTGAGAAAATCACAACTGATGACAGAAGCCGATCAATCATTTCGTGCTGATCAGAGCTTAGATAAAACTGGAATTAAAGATTGCATTCAATGAGGTGTGCATTTTCCTGGCTGATGATGTTGGCTCAAAACTTTAACCTACATTGATGTTCAGTGAGAAAAATCAGTTGTAAGGCGCCCACTATGCCGACCCAGGCCCATTTTGTTGAACTTTATAGCCAACTTGTCGTATCAGTCACATAGTAAATTTCAAGGGAAAGGTAGATAATAATTACATATAGTCAATTTTTGGTAGAGTAGACAGATACATGCCCAGGAGTTCTAAGTAATTGTGACTGGTATTTGATGTCTTTCTGCAGTGAAGTACCTGCAGTTCCTCCGCAAGAGGACCAACACCAAGCCTAGCCGAGGCCCCTACCATCTCCGGTCACCCAGCCGAATTTCTGGAGGGTCATCCGAGGTAAGCAGTACGGCAGGAGCTTGCTGACTCGTGGCTGAAGGGCCTGCATTTCCTAATTCAGCACTCACTTGTCATTGGGCTTGTGGGGGAGAGCTTCCTTCACCCTAGGGCCATGTACGAGTTACAACATAAAATATTGTGGACTGTACAAAGCTGCTCAGGGTTGTGAAAATGTTCAAGAAACCCATGTCAGATGTTCCTTGCACTGCAGAGAATAGTTGACACTTGTAACTGTCAGAAAAGTGGAGCTGACTTGCAGCTTGTTTTGATGGCAGCTTTCTGATACATGCGATCCATAAAGTATACTCTCACTGTGGACTGTATTTGATTTTTTAAACCTTTTCTGGGCATCCAGTTAATAGTTTATGGTTGCTTGTCACTTAGCAGATAACAGTTAAAGTTGCTAATATCTGTGATGATCCAGCAGATCACTCTTTGTGTAGATTATGAATGTTGTTACAGTTAACTTATTTGTACCATACTGCCAGCTTTGAGCCTTCTGTCTGTGATGATATCCCACGTTTTTATGAGTCACTCGGCAGTGAGATCAAAACCTCACATGCACTACCATCTGAGACAGAAAACGTGCAGTCCTCCGCTGGCCTTTAATACTGCTTGGCTCACACATCTTGTGAATGTCAGCCTTTTTTGGGGGGGGGGATTATATGAATTATCTTTAATAGACCTTTTTTGGGGGGGGATTATATGAATTATCTTTAATAGTCCTTTTTTTGCAAGGCACATGTAGTGTTAATGAATTGGATTCACCTGCTCTCTTTCAGGTATGTTGCCCCACAAGCGTGCCCGAGGAAAAGAGGCTCTGGACAGACTGAAGGTGTTTGAAGGGATTCCTCCTCCCTATGACAAGGTATTCTCTGAAAAACCACATCCTACAGAAGTCGGGATAAGTGTCATTTGGACACAGGTCCTACTTTCGAATGTGAACTTATCAACAAACATCGGCCCCCCATGACATTGATCAATTTAGGACTACTGAGATACATTTGGGCAGAATGCTTTCAGGAAAGTGTGCATTGACGCTGCCGATGATGTTGACTCTCAACTTAACCTACATTGTTTGATGTTTACTGAGAAGACAGTAATTCTGAGGCACTGCCTATGCACACAGAGTCCCTGTCACGTATCACTGATTTCAACCGTGCCAAAATGTGCCAAGTTTACATTTGATTAATTGTAGAAAAGAGAAACTAACAGCTTGAACCTGGATTTTAACTTGTGATTAGCAAACAGGAGCACAGCCCGTCTTCCTGTTTGTTTGGCTTGAAAATTTCAATACATTTACCATTTCTCAAATTCAGGACGGCATTAATAAGCTCAAATTACGTGTAACTGGGGCCTAGTAGATAGCCAAAATATTGCCCTCCAAGAAGACCCCCTTTGCCTATATTGTTCTGCCACTCAAATTTTAACTTGACATGCCCTCATACATGGTGTCAAAATGTAGGGCCTACTTGAATTATCCCAAGGAGCAGTGGCATTTGTTCTCTGACGCGGTTGGATTGATCTGTACGCAAGTACGTACAGCACGGCTGGTGCTTCGGAAGTTAAGGTCACCTTCAGCGTTATGTTGTGATGAGCAAATGAAATCTGTTTGACGCTTCTAGCCACTTTTGTTGTCAATTCTGTCTGCAGAAGAAGCGTTTTGTGGCTCCCCCTGCCCTGCGTTCCGTGCGCCTCAAGCAGAACAGAGATGTAAGTCAGTGGCTTGTAGTGAGGTTTCCAGACTCCAGCCGAGTTTATCCCGATCAGTCTTGTGTTGCAGAGAATTCCTCAACTCTCTTTCGCCCTCAAGAATTGCTTCAGCAAAGCTTGTCTTTGAGCGAATAAGTTTACACAATTCTCTTGGTGAATTTCATTACACAAAAGACTGATAAGTAATGGGCAGAAAATATGCATTCTCTGTGGCCGAATTCATGGTTCTGCTTTCAGCCAAAAGTTGCTGTTACCTCAGAAAATCATGTGCTGTGGGCACATTTGTCGGTAATATGTAGCAGTTAATTTTTGTTTGCACATTGCGCATATTCTGTGCCTAGAGATGCTACTTTGACAAGATTTGCATAAACCAGCTCCAGTCAGGGGTACAGAATTTTGTGATTAGGCAGGCCGTGTTAATGGGCTCCAAATTACAAACTAGGGAAGTGCTCTGAAGGCATAATATGTCTGTGAAAATAGCTGATGAATTCCTATCTGCATGTGCATCTAACAGTTCTGCAATCTGGGGCGCTTGGCTCATGAGGTAGGCTGGAAGTACAAGGATATCATCCAGACCTTGGAGGAGAAACGCAAGGCCAGGTCCTGGGAACGCTGGAAGGTCAAGAGAAGGGCTCTGGTAAGATACCAGACTTCCATTCCAAAAAGAAGAATATCAAACTTAACGTCATTGCACCCTTCAAATTCAATGGCATGATCTCGGTACTGTAAAATAAAGGGACTGCTGCTTACTGCGTGCTGACTTCATGTCAGAAGTAAGCAAATACGTTGTTGTTGTTTCTTTAGGTTGAAGATGTAGAAGTGCATTGATAGAGTTTACACTCGGACACATGAAGTAGGATGAGATTCAAGACTGGGGATTGGAGTTCTGAGTGCACTGAAACAAGATTCAAATCCAGAACGTTTTGCCATTTGCTCGTGACCTCGTAGAATTTGAAGTTGACCGAGGAGTCTTGTGACTGACTACAAAAATTTGACAAAGTCCACAAAAACTGGGTGGCATTAAGAAACGACAGCTGCTTGCTCTGTAAGGAAAAGGAGCCTTGAATAATGCAATGAACCAGTGTGACATTCCAGCAGCGCTGACACGCGCATAGGCTGTGTTCCCCCAAAATTTCTCGCAGGATGAATCAACTCGAAAAAATTCTCCTTTTGTTTTTTTTTGTTTCAGCAACTGCGACGCAAAGCAGCCAAGAATGTCAGGGCCAAGGTAGCGCCCTACCAGAAGATCATCCGTCAGTACGGCTACAGATAAACAAACGGGGTGGTCAACTGTACCCAAACAAATCAAGCACTGAAGTGCCTGATGTCTAAATATCACTCCCGAGAGAAAAGTTTTTGTGCTTGAAAGTTGCACACGGCAGTCATCAAGATTCATTTGTTTTTGTGGGTTTACGACAAGCTGATAGTACAAATAAAAGACATTGCAAGGAAAATGTGACTTTCTTGTGTTTTATTATGTGGTTTCTGTATTCAGTGTCAACAATCTGCAGGTAATTCTTGCCTGTTGAAGTTAAGATTTTATGGCAAAATTTATAGGACAAAATTGCATGAATGAATCCACTGTTGAAACTTTTCTATCCCTGAAAGAATATACGTATATCCGGTGTGTATGTGGTGTGGGAGTTGCATGTTCCAAGTTCAAATGGCATTTATACCGCTGATTACTAAATGGTCTCAAAGCTGTACAGCGTGGAGGATATTTGGTGACCGAGGTTTTTTAATTTACTGGAGTATATTTGATCTCAACACCCAACTAGCTAAACATTGTGGGTGAGATTGGAAGAACTGGAAGAAAAAGATATTGCCAAAGGTTTTGTTTCCCCATAGCAGCGTGGGGACTGTGGTTTACATTTGTTTGCCTAAAGGCACCTCTGAAAACTGCCCATTTAACTGATTATTTATTATCTTTATCAACTTTTATATATAAAAAATCTTGACAAATCCAAATCCTGATGCGTCTCTCCCCTGCCACATACAAACTATGCTACTGAACAAATGTAACTCTATGCAAACCTCTGGCTACTTTGATTTGCAAATCATTACAACTTTTATTTACACATGTATGCATTACAAAGATTGATATATTACATGGGGGGTGTATGTGGTACATACATGTACATGTATAGCTAATACACCCTCGGACAGTGCTTGCGACCAATTCGTCTTTTCATCTTTGCAAATCTATTATTGATTAGTGTGCAGTGCCTTTTAATATCACTATCATTCTGCAATGAATATTTCCAGTGATGACAACTGTCCAGACATTTTTCAAGAGTTTTCCTATTTACAATATTTGTGCGTTGAATGAATATAAAGATTATGACATTGCAAAACTGAATGAAACGATTTCCAGAACCCCCTTCCAAAAAATAGGCCTATGACCCGCCAAGACATGAATCTAAAAAATACCATGCAATCTTGAAAGCCAAAAATCCATGTAAGTCCAGTTTTTACCCACATGCACTTTTCCAACATGTTTTTAATTTAATAAATACAAAATCCTTTGAAAAAGACGGGTACTTAGCACCCATTTCAATGACAAAGAGTAACATTCCTAACAGTAGTTAGTTGCATTGCTTAATAAAAACAGAAAATATGAAGAATTCCACCATGCATCGGACCATTCCAAACAAGAAACTGAAAATTGATAACAGATACTTGAAAATATCTAAGCGCCAGTGCTTCCATGAAAGAGGCTTCATAGATTCAAACACATTGAAAAATTCAGCGCAAGTTCCCCACCTAAATGCATGTAATCACACGCTAAATGTGTAAAATGATTTTTTTTAACTGTTCAGTTATCTTGAAAGCGGCAAAAAGCCTTACAACTGGGTGTTAACTTATGCTTGTTCCTGTAACTTGTGCCTTAATTCATGCTTGTAGATACAACCACATTTTCTTCTAAGATTTATGCATCTTTTTTTCCATAAAACTCATTTCAATGAAAATTTGATGACCCTCATTTCCTCCATACATTATAAAAAAATATCTACATGTGTAAATGTATGGGTTTACAATGGTGATTCCTTCTTTTGTCATGAGCCATTTTGTAAGTACCACCATCTTGTCAAGAGTGCTACAGTGCTGCCCACTTCCTTTAGATACTTTGCCAAGATGACCGTCCCCACAACATCACTGACAGACCCAAGGTCTAGTCTCCATTCTTTCATCCCTTCATCACAGCTAGACTCAGTTTGCGGCCTCCACCTTGGCCTCGTCTTCCTGCTTGACCTTGTAGTTGGCCAAAGCTGCTTTGATCGCATCCTCTGCCAACACTGTGGATCAGGGGAAAAATGACACAGTGACATATAACTGACAGGGAATATGCCTTGTGATCAAGGCTTAATTTGGTTCCTTTAATACTAACGAGGCCTCAACTCATCTGAGGAGGTTGAGAGCGTGCCAAGCCCTAACAGGTGACAGCGCAGTCAGCAATGCTACACATACCTTGAAAAAATGACCACCAAGTGTTGGCACTGTAAGTTCAATCTTTGTAAAAGTCTTTGGTTGTGAAATCTTGTTTCTTTTTTTGCCGAAAATAAAACTTCATATAGGACAAGCTCCTGTGGAAAAACACCATCCACAAAATACTGCTTAACCACTTCTT